CAGCCAGCAGGCTGGAGAATTCTGGGAGTTGAAGTCCACGCATCTTAAAGATGTTCAGATTGAGAAACACCGTTGTAGATGATTGGAATAAATGTAGTAATGAGAGGAGTGAGGAGAACAGAACTGATCTGACCAATTCAATACTAAAAATATCTGAAGAAAAGGCAAAGTCTTACTGATATTGGGAAACCTGTGGCTCTGTAGGATGCTGGGAATTATAGTTCAGAAACACTGAAAGTCTCCAGATGTTCCCCACCCCCAAGTAGAAGAGCTAAACCGGGAGTGCAAACAATGTAGCCCACAGGCACATGTCATCTACCCCAGCACCACTTTTGTAGCCCCCCAAACCTGGGCCAAAAATGTTGGCATTTGGGGTGTATAGAAACAAAATAGATGTCTTCAGTCATGTGGATGCTATCTCTTGTAGCATTCCACTATTACTTATTACACTAGACTAGACAAACTGTGTGATGAAGGGTAGCATGCTAAGGGGTACATTTCAATTAGATTAGGATGATAAAATTAATATAAATACTAGCTATCTTTTCCAAACAAAAACCTTCAGATTATTTTCTTCAGTTGGGATATTTACAGAAATATTATTTTTAATAACCTTTTTTTTTCCTTTTTGGAATCAGGGAACAGTATCCCAATCAAGTACTGGAGCATGTATCAAAGTAAGTATTTTTTCCTGAAATGTTTCTGTTCTCCATAAAGTCAGTATGAGTTTTGAAATTACTTAGCATGATGAAATGCTGTCAAGTCAGGTAGTACCAATTTGATTCAGTATTTTTTTATCTGCAAGGATTATTGCTTTGAATAAAAATTTCCAGCCTTATTTACAACCCAGTTGCTTTTTCTGTCATTTTCCTACACTAATGCCATAGAAAAACATTTCTAGTGTTTCACATATTTTCATTTTCTGTTTCTGCTGACTCCTTTAACGGTATAGCTAATAAATCACTTGCCAGAGGTTCTAAAACTCTTAGACCACAATCAATCATACTTAAATTTCTCACTGTAATCTCTCTCTCTCTCTTGCTCTCATTTTCACTCTCTCTTTCTATTTCAGAGTCCACAAGGATCATCTCAAAGCAGTGACAGCCAATCAAAGGTAAATGTGGTTTTAATTTTTGTTGTGGTATTTAATTTCTTCTCCTTCTTAAGGTTTGCTCACACATTATATTTTAATCACAACAGCTATTACATTTCCAGGAACCTTTGGAAAGGACCATTTTGCAATGGAGAATCAGCTAATGTTTTGTCCCTGGGACTTTGTGCTTTCCAGAAGTGTTTACTCTTCCTGGAATTCCAGGTTCTGCATCAGAAAAATGGGAAAACTTTAGGGAAGGGAGAGATGAAAATATTAAACATAAGTTTCTCTTTCCCTCCATTGCAAGTCACACCCTTTCAGAATTATCTGTTCATATAAGAAGCACTTGCTGCAATGTGATTGCTTGGTTTTTCATGTAATACTGTATAATGGAAAGTCTCGAGTCCTCAGAATTTCACTAGAAATCCCTATAATGCCTGGGCTCTCAAGAGAGACAGAATCATTGCTAAATTGCTTTACATAATCAAATGCAAGCCAGAAGCAAGATGGAATCTGAGAGTGATGTCACACCCTGTATCCCCACAACACCATGGAGTTGTACTGATCTTTATAAGCTAAGCCCATTTTCTGTTCCATAGAAAATGCTGCAAAGATAGTTATGCGTCTGTTTTTCTAGAACTGTAGGGCAGGTATTTTCCTACTGGAACTCCATCTCATCCTACCTCCCTGCTCCTCATGGTTATAGTCAATCCAGAGTTCAGTAATAGTTTCAAACTATGATTGACTCATAATGTGGGGGAAATATGACACTAATCAGTGGGATACCTCAGGGTTCTGCCCTGGGCCCAGGACATTTTCATAAATGATTTACATGAGGGAATAGAAGGCATGTTCATAAAATTTGCAGATTGTAGTTGGGGGGACTGTTAATACCTCTGAAGACAAGCTCCAGATTCCAAAGAATCTTGATAAACTTGAACATTCAGCCCTATCCAGAAAAATGTTGTTGAGTGTTGAGAAATGTAAGGTTCTTCACTTCGGCAAGAAAAACCAGATGCATAGATACAAGTTAGGTGGTACCTGGCTTAGTAATAGTACTTGGGAGAAAGATTTGGGAGTCTTTACCTCTATTGTCCAAAATGGTATGAAGGATTCCTGCACTGGTCAGGGAATTGGACTAAAAGACCTGTAAGTTCCTTCCAAACCTATGATTCTAATCCTGAAAAGTGAAAGGGATGGGGAAAATTCAAGCAGAAAAGAGGATACCAAGCAGAGCTATCCTTGCCATGAAGCAATTGCATAAAATGGCAGATGATCCCCTGAAGTTCCTTTCAAGCTCTATGGCATTTCCCCTCTTAGAGTAGAGAACAGTGTATGCTACACAGACTATCCTAAAGGGCCCTAGTACAATGCCAGAGGTGAAATAATATTCAGCTGTCCATTTGGGGAACACCATTTTGTTCTTTGCCTCAGACCACAGGATTTCTTGGGCTTCCCAGAACAGAAGAGTGTGAGCCAGAAGGCCCCTCATGCCCCAGAATGATTCACATTTCTCTTGAGGAGTGGGCTAAAGTCCTTTCCTGACCATAACTTTATTTTTAAAAAAATGATAAAATGACTGATATAAGTGGCAGCCGTAGCCAGGAGGGCCTTTGCACGTTTGCGTCTTGTGCGCCAGTTGCACCTGTTCCTGGATCAGGAGGCCTTGTTCATTGTCACTTCTCCTAGCTGGGCCACCGCAACATACTCTAGATGGGGCGGCCCTTGAAGACCATTTGGAAGCTACAATTAGTCCAGAATGTAGCTAATGTTATGGAACACCACTATTTTGCAAGATGCATTGGCTTTCTGTAGCCTCTAGGTACAATTTAAGATGCTGGTGATCACCAACAAAGCCCTACATGACACAAGACCAGGTTATCTGCAGGACCTCCTCTCCCTAATGATATCTGCCTGTCCCACACACTCCAAGATGGTAGGTCCATTTTGGGTCCCTTTCAGGAAACAGTGCCATGAATGGAATTCAGGAAGCATCCTTTTTCCATTGTAGCACTTGCCCTCTGAAATGGTCTCCCCACCCCCACCCCCAAGATATGGCTGGTCCCATCAGAAAGGCAGTAAAAACATGGCTTTTTCCTCTGATTTTGGGAGTTTCCCCTCTGGAGAGGGATATGAATATGATAGCCTGGTTGCGTATTATAGTGTTGGATTTTAGCTGAAATTGTTTATTTTGTTTTGTTTTGTGACAAAATAACAGAGTTGTAATGTTTGGGTAACCATGTACCTTCTTTAAATAAATAAAATAAAAATACAGGTGTTTTTTTTTCCTTCCAGGTTGTAGTAGTTAAACAAGGAAGCAGCAAAGGCAGTGGCTGTGTTGGGGTATGTCCATTCTGTGGTCTTTATTTAGAACTTTATTTGAGAGTAAATATAGAATTTATTAACAACTTGGATTGTTTCTCTATTAATGCAAAATAATATAAATTAATGCAAAATTACATAAAGAGATCTTATCAATTTAATCCCAAGATGATTTATTCCCATCCCCCATTAGAGATGACTTTTCAAAATCAACACATGATAGGAATTTTGCAACAGTGAAGAGGAATTTCTATCACACAGGGTCCCTGCTTTGAGATTTTTTAATGGAAAGTGATATACAATTTTTTTAAGTGAATAAAGATGAACATTTTCAGCAATCTGAATCAGTGCACTGCAATCCAAGCAGTAAGGCTGGTGGGGGGGTGGGCAAATGATGTTGGAGTATCTTCAATGGACTACAAAAAAATCAAGATGGAGGTAGCAACCATGAAACTGAACCATCATCTTGATTTTTTTCACACACACACCTCTACATATTTCCCTGAATGGTGCGATGTGTTGAGTTCTACACATTAATGGAAACCTCCAGTCAGGACTGTTGCGCCCATTGAAAGATGAGACCCTGGGTAGTTCCATATTTTTTTGTGTTTTTTTTTTTTGCAAGACTCTAGCTTGGAAACCTATTTTTATCATGCAGTACAATGTACATTGGGCCTTTCAAAGGACGTGGTTTCAAGACAGACCACTAATGAAATGGAAATGTCACCATGCAGAAACAAATACTGGTCCTCAAAGAAGATCTGAGGCTTCTCAGTTTCCAAGTTTTTCCCCCAATTTTCTACTATCTAAGTCAATTTTCTTTTTATTCCTAGGGTGAAGTTGCAAGCGTGTATAATCAGTATGGTTGCAGAGATGTAAGTACTATTATTGTATCTTTTTTTCCTGCTCAAAATTACATAGAAGCTTAGGTACCTTGCATGTTTATACGTGGGTGTCTTTAGCTTTGGCTTACCATGCTGTGTAAATCTTCCAGCCACTATGGTTTGTTACTGTTACATGAGAAATTGGCCACTATATGCTGTTTCTAAGTTATTGATTATATGCTCTTCCACTAATGACCAATCAGTACATTAAATAATAAGGTATTTCATTAATACATTTAAATAATGTCATTAATTTCTTCATGTAAATATTTTTGTGAGATACCTTTAATGAAGATTTTATTTACCAACCTCATTTAGTTTTTGCATCCTGCTGCAGTAACACACCTGAATCAAAATATGGAATGCATTAATCACCAGACAGTAGTATTATTTCCTCAATTAAAACTTCAGTAGATTAACCTACTATAGCCAGATCAAATGCATCCAACCTACCATTATGTTATAAAGATTCTGTCATGGTATAAGCCGCTAATATTTACTTCCCAACAGAAAACAGTTACTGGCTGTTAAGAGTTGAGCTACCTATTCTGAAGGTCAATTTTTAACCAAAATGGCATGTTATAAAGTACACAGTACCATATCTAAGGCAGAACTTAGTTTTTAAGAATTAGACAGCTGTTCAGCATTTTCCCATATATGAAATATATTTCTAACATCTACCTCAGTTTATTAACTATCAAGCAATCAACACACAAGACTCTATCATCTTTCTCATTTTTCATTTTAGCTGAAAGTTCACTAAAAAAACCCTTTCATTTTCCCCCTATTTCACCACTGTATCTTGCTGTCTAAAATAACTTCAGGAGGCCAAAGTACTGAGGGTTCATAGTGAATTTTAGCCTTTCTGAATAAATGTTGTTCCTGTCTCCATTTTCCAAATAGCAAAAATGTGTTTAGTCTGTGTGTTCAAGGGTAGAAAATGGTGGGAGCAAGGCATGAAAGTCAACACCTCAAGGATCAAACACCTCTGCAAAGCTTCCCTTGAGTACTCAGATCTGTAGGTTGGTGGTAAATGACTTCAGCTGAATCTATGTAGGCACTTCCCTTCAATTTGGGACTCTGATAAAGTCAGGTTCAGATGTTTTAAAATGTGTCCTAAGGGGTAAGCTCACAAACCAAGAGTGCTAGGGACAGGAATTATATGTGTGCCCTTACTTTCACCACTCATTTGATCTTAAGGTATGTTGTGTGCAAGCTAATGAGGTGCAATGGCCTGTTCTTTCTCACTGAGATTAATAGAATTTTGTTGCTTTTTAATGCAGAGTGGGGCTGACATTAGTGATCAATCATCATATGGCCAGGTAAGAATTACCTCTCCTTTAAATATATATCCCAGATCAACTTTTTTAATAGTTGAATTAGACTTGTAACAGATACAAGTAGTAATGTAGAATTGCCATGTTTATAAGACCTATGTGCAAAATAGCTTAGATTGACTTCAACGGTTTCCAAATGATTGTGTGATTTTACCCTAAGAGAAAGATACATGAAAGGCTGACTAGTTTTATCTAGAAGGCATCATGTTGAGGAAGACTGTTTAACCTGTTAGAATTATATATTCAACATTGTGCAGAATTAAAGCAAAATAGCAGTTTTATAAGCAAAAAAATTAGCATTCCTATCTAAGAAGCAAACTGAGGAGAAGAATGTTGCTAAAATACTGAAAGCATTTTATATCAAGGAATTTAACTAATTTATATATGTGGCTATCCTATTTTTCACAGTCTGTTTCCACCCGTACAGATTCTAAAGGAAAGGTATGTATGTTTTTTCCGGTTAAATTGGAAAGTTGATCAACTTCAGCAAGTACAAATATTATATGTCTTTGGTTGTGTGGATATTAGCATATTACCATACTGACATTACTTTAGGATGTAGTACATCCAGTGATACCCACAGTTTTAACTTTAAATCTCAAAATGCTTCCTGATAAACTTTAATATGGAGTTGTTCATTATGGCTATATCATGATTTTTTTGTCATTGTTCAGTCTATAAAGGTCTGAGGGAGGCAAGTGACAAAATGTGTGTTGTGACATTGTGACAGAAACCCCACCTCTTTACGGTTGGGTCTGACTGCAGGCATGTTTTGTCCTTTTTTTCATCATCTTGATTTGTAGTGGATGCCTAGGCTTCAATCACTGCATTCTGATTTATCTCCTTTTGTCCATTTTTTTTTCTTTCCAAGGACAATTGATTTAGGCAAAAGATCCAAAATAAAAGCACAAATCTTCCAAACAGGCAGTGTTCTATAATTATTCTCCTAATAAGTTTTGAGGCTTACTCAGCAATTGTGGCCTGCTTAAAAACAGTGGTGAATAGAACTATGAGTTAGTATGATGGATGAGCCTAGCTGGAAGTTGCCTCAGCAATTCTTTAAAGCTGCCTTACCCAACCTGTGGACCATCCTGACTGAAGAATTCTGGGAATTGAACTTGCTTCACACATTTGAAGAGTGCTCAGGTTGGGGAAGGCTGATCTAAAGCCAGCTGAAGTTGTTTTAAGTGGACAACCACATTCTGAATCTGAAACATAGTGCGTTTCATTTCCTTTGAAGGAAATGCCTGAATTGTTGAATTGTTCACCTTGCCCCCAAACCTTGTCCCAGTCCTAGAATTCTGCAAATTCTGGAAAAAAAATTTTTTTCAGTCCTAGAATTCTGGGGAAGTGGACTTCCTGCCAGGGTTTAGTCCTGAGTTAGGAGAAGATGTTAAAACATTGCAGGAGGGACCTGACTACCTTCTGCTTTCTCAAGAAAAGCTTCAGTCACATCCGAATCAGCTTCCTGCCCATTGTAAACTGTAAGGGACAGAAATCATTACAGTAGGGTGGTTCTGGAAAGTAAGTTCGTTGTTGTCTTTTCTGTTATAGGTGATAACCTACCCCAATAGCCAGCCCTTCCCACCTGAGGTAAGCTAAACCCTTCTTCTCTGCCACCCTGCTACCCTAATCACGTAAAACCTCATATTTGGGGTCATAGCAAAATTTAACATCTGTATCTCTCTGCTCTGTGCTTAAGAGAAGGCGGACTGTATATACCAGTGTTTCTCAACCTTGGCAACTTTCAGATGCGTGGATTTCAACTCCCAGAATTCCCCAGCCAGCCTTGCTGGGGAATTCACGCATCTGAAAGTTGCCAAGGTTGAGAAACACTGGTGCATATCATTCTGACAGACCCTAGTCTAGTGAAATACAGTACAGTAATTAGAAATGATGGAGGCTGGGTGACGTCTTGAAACTGGGGTTTGCAAGGCTCCAAGTGCAATTTTCAGAGCAAAGAAGTGGGTGTGAGGCAATAGAGCCCAATACATCTTCTGTCTGTTGCCTCTGGCAAATACTTTTTTCCCAGTGATGTTCCCTTTCATCTCAACTGAGGAAAAGGGCATCTGGAGGACAAACTGCACTGAGATTAGACACAGATGAGAGAGAGTTTCGCAGGGCCTGTTTTGCTGGACTAAGCCAACCTGTTTTTGAAGATGAACCAGTGATATCACAAGCTTTGAAATAAAAGAAGGCGGCAATGGAAATGACATCACATTAATGGGTTGTAATGTCTGTTTTTTACCTGCATTAACTCTGGAGTTAAAATTCCTTTTTCACCATTAATTTACACTGTATATGTATAGTTATTTAGTTTGGAGATAATTCTGCAATATTTGGGGGTTATGTTCCTAGGAGCTATTTAATGCCAACCAAACTTACCTATAACGTTCTTAAGCTATTGGAGAGTATGTTTGATGTTAAATTTGATAATCTTGACATTTCATACAAAATATTTAGATTTCAATTCCTACAAAATTCTTAGATTCAGAAATAAGATGTAAGCTTTGCTTACTGTCAGCAATTGTTTCTTTGTTAGAAAAATAGCCATTTTAATATCATATATTATTATGTTATCAGAAAAATAGAGTATTGGAAAACAGTAATAACCAGCTGTTTCTTAAAACCTGTCATGTTGCATTGGCAGAACAAATATTGCATGGTAAAAAAAATCCTGTTTCCTTTATTATGAGACATAAGTGGGGGTGCAAAAAAGAACTTTTCTTGGTAATCAATTCATTTTTTGGAATGCATTATCTGGAGAAAAATGCACAGAGAGACAAATTTTGCTCAATGAGTAAATATAAAATTGCAAAACTAGCTAATTTCAGATCATCTCATGAAATATGATTGACAACTGCTGTAGTATGATTTATAATTTTATGGATTATAAAAAATTGAATAAATATATTTTTTAAAAGTTAGACAATCCCTCCCCATTTCGTTTTAATATCCATATTCTTTGTGAGAAGCTCTTCTGTAGGTTAATAATTGTTTTCCCCTTTTCCAATAGCATGACTTTTTTTCACCAATATATACAATATCATCTTCAGTACTTTATTTTTAAATTTTCCCATAAAATATGGACAAATCCTAGACATATCCACCACCAGCTCACTCCAGGCTTCCTCTACTGTTCCTCTGCATTTGCTTTTTCATTCATTTTATCTTAATAATTCACCAATCCCCATAATACAGGTTTTTGTCTTGGGAGGAGGGAATCTGTGACCTATCAGGTGGATTGTGACTTTCATCAGTCCAGGTGATACAACAAACTTTGAATAGTGATGGGAGTTGCAATCCGACGATACCTAGAAATGGGTTTCCCATTTCTTAATTAAATGACTAGTTTGAAAATTTCCTAGCATCAAGTAAGTCATTAACATATAAGCATCAAACCTATTGTATCTGCTTAAGACATCTCTGTAGACTGCAGCAGAATTTTGGGGGAAATATTCTAAGTTCACATAACCCTTGCAGTTTGTTGACAAAACTGCCTATTCGACACCCCCATTCACTTGTATGTACTAAAAGCAATCTATTATAGCATTATAATTATCGCTTTGGCATAGGTATGGAAATTATTTTCAGGGAACTCATATTGAAATCTAAGAGTTCCCTGGATCATAGCTGAAAATCACTGCTCTACTTTATCAAATTTCCCATATGGATTTCATCCTTTTCCTATAAATTAAATTAAATTAGTTTCTTTTTTCCTTTCCCTTTTTTTTTTTTTTTTTTTAGAAAATAGCAAGTCCCAAATACAGTGGAGTCATCTACTCCCAGGTAAAAGAATTCTTTTTTCATTCCTTTTTAAAACTGGAATATTTCTATCTTTCTCAGGAATGCTTTGTAATTAGTAAGAATAATGATTTAACATAGTGATCGCAGACAGTACTTTTTGCCTTTCATTTCTCTGCACCCTCACTTCTTACAATTGTGATCAAGTGTATAAGCTTATGAAATAAAATACTGTTAATTTGGTCAATGACTAGCAAAATTTGAAAACAGACCACACAAAAGTAAAATCAAATGGGTGAGATAAAATACTAGCATAACAGTCTCTATAATAAAAATACAACATATACTTCTATAATGGTATGTTAATTACCTGTGCAAGTATAAATGTAAAATATTACAATCTATGAGGTAAAGATACATAAAACAAGATAGCTAACATGTAATAAACCTGAAGTGATGAATAAAAGAGAAGTGGTATATAAGCTCATCAGTTTAGGATAACACCTCAGCTACCGAATCCGTAAAACCTACAGAGCACTGGCATTCCCCAATCTGGTGCTTTCCAGAACTGTTGGCACTGCTTGTATCAAGAATCTGGTTTAGGCCATAATAAATGTATCAGCCCTTACCATATTACAAAGCTGTTTAATACATTAATTAACAATGAATATCATAAAAATGCCCTTTTGGTACATTTTTACAGAAAAGCAATTAAATCCCTGTGATTCTCTCTCCACAGGGCAAAAAGCCTCAGAGTGGTTCTTCAGAAAGCATCGATATCACAATTCAGGTAACTATAATTCAGACGTGCTTAGCCTGATTCAAACATGATCATGTATCTTAAGAGGACTACAGCAAGTAGGGTTGGTGGGAAATGGCACCGCTTAGATAAGTTCAATATAGTACAGGTAGTCCTCGGGTTACAATGGCAGTTGGGACTGGAATTTCCATTGCTAAGTGATGTCATAACTCGCGATGTCATTACTTAGCGACAGCAATCCCAGCACTCCCTGTTGCCATCATTAAGGTAGGATCATGGTTGTTAAGCGAGGACCTCCTCGCAACTTCCTGCTGGCTTCCAACAAGCAAAGTCAGTGGGGAAGCCGGCATGAAACCACAAGTCTTAGGTGGCTCGTACGCATGCCAGTGGGCAGGCAAGTGGCTACTGCTGGGTGGGGGAGGGTGCATGAGTGGCCAGGGTGTGAGCACAGCAGAGCCGGGGGTGGCTGCTGCCAGGTGCATGAGAGTGAGCAGCAGGGCCAGGGGTGCCTACTGTGAGGTATGCAAGGGTCTTGGGGTGGCTGCTGCCAGGTGGGGGGGTGTTCAGAGGTGGCTGCTGCGGGTGGGGAGGTGCTGTGGGCACCGTAGCCAGGCTTCTTGGGGGAAAAAGCCATAGTCATGTGAATGACTTGCAACCTTCCATGCCAGCTTCCCCATTGACTTTGCTTGTGGGAAGCCAGCAGGGAAGGTTGGAAATGGTGATCATGTGACACGGGATACTGCAACCATAAGTGCAAGCCAGTTGCCAAGCACCTGGATTGCGATCATGTGACTGTGGGGGGTGGTGGGATGGCCAGAAATTCGAGGACCGGTCATAAGTACCCCTTGTTTAGCACCATCATAACTTCGATCACTGAATGAGTGGTGGTTAACAGAGGACTATCTGTATAGTTCTCAGTGCTTTAGAAGAGAGGCAAATATGTTGAGGAGGAAGCTGTGGCTTGAATAGAGACCCAAAGTTCCTTATCAGGGCTGCACAAAGCAGTCCTTTTCTTTGTGTGCCCTCCCTTATTTCTAAAACGAAATGAAGCTGCCACCCAAGCACCAGAATATAGGTTTCTGCAGGTGTTTACTGCTTACACAAAATTTACCTCCATCTATAGAACTCTTAGCTAAGGCCTTTGAGTGACACTCTGTGTCATGAAGCATCTTGCTTGAAGTAAAGCGTAGGCATCTACACAGTCCCATTTCTCATATCTACTGGACAGGGCTGCCACAATCCAGTGTGCAAATTGTACACCACACAAGGGCATCGCATGAAGGGGGACACTAGTTGCAAGGTAAAAAAACAAAACAATAGTCGGATGCACACGTACATGGCTGGAATATTTAAAGAATTGTTGGGTGGGTACAAGTGGAATTCTGCACAAGAGTGGTTTGTATGCCAGCAGCGCCCCTGCCTCTAGAATGGCCTTCCCCATTCTGGGACCCTCCAGATTAGTTGGACCAAGTTTTGTCATCTCCTACCAGCATCGACAATGGCTATTCTAGATGACAGGCTGAGGAAGAGGGGAGGTGACGTTGCAACAGGCCCACTAAAAAAGTAAATGATCACTTGCTTGGTTTCTTGTTTTTCTTCACAGAATGGACAGAGTGTCCCAGCTTGTGATAAAGTAAGTGTTCTTTTCCATCCTACATTATTTTAATTTATGTCTAGATACTTATATTAATGTTCTTTTTTTTTTTTACTTTATGTAAGACCCCACCCCACCCCCCAGACACATCTTTGCCTTTCCTGGGTCAGTTCCATGAAACTGTAAAGTGGGAGACACAGATTAACTGAACGCTTTTAGTTGCCTGCTGGTGTTCAAGTGCATTCCATGTCTTAGGACAAATGCTGTTTTAATATTCTGTTTCTCAATGAAGTAATTGGTGCAATTCTCTTTTCCAGAGTTCATCTTCATATAGCATCCAGGTTTGCAACCAGGTAAGCATCTCTGTGTCATTGTGTTTGAAGTGATTTATTTTTCTGTTTACAGTCGTGTGTCTGTGTAACCACTGAACTGATTTCTGCTTCGCCTCCCATAATCACATGCCAAGTAGACAGTAAATTAAGGTCTTCTCAGGGTAGCTTTTGAGAATTGCCATCTTCATAATCAGAAAGACAAAGCACCTGAAAGGGAACAGCTAATGAGAGAAGTCTTCAGAATTAAATTTCTTGCTTGAATAATAGATTTTTAAAAATGGGTTTCAATTAGAAGTGTGAGGTAGAAGGTAAATACTGAAAAGCCTTTTCTGATGAGAAAGGAGGTTGAGTAATGAGATTAGTCATCCAGAAAGGCTGTGATGTCCATCGCAGGAAATTACAAAAATAAATATTGGTTAGGAGTGATTTGCTATTTGGACAGATTAAGAGTGCAGACAAGGCTGCTATTGTGCAAACACTGTCTTAAGGAAAGTCTGTCTTAAGGAATTGTGTCTACAGGCAATTGGACACTGTCCTTTTCCATTTGTAACCTTGTTTTTTTTACCCCATGAAGAAGCTGGACCATGTGAACAGTTAAAATGTTAGGTTCTGTCCATCTGAAGCACCTTGAGTGGCCAGAGAAACACAATGGCAGCTTTGTACATTTTGGGCTACCTTTTCTTATCAAGAGCATCACTTTAAGACTGCACCGATTGCTTCCTTAAATCAGTCCAGAAGATATCTCAGTAACAGCTGGATTGACACATGTTTTTCTTTGCAGCTGGGCCAGTCATCAGGTTCACAGAATAGCAGCTCCTTTGGCACACAGGTACATACACTTTCACCATTCCACAATGAATATAGAAGGATTTGCCACAATTTCAGCAAATATCAAAGGACTGGTAATTGTTTTCTGTAGGAACCTCTAAATCTGTACTCCCCAATTGGTGCCCTTCAGATATGTGGAAATATATCTCCTAAAATCCCAGTCACGCCCAATCACCAGGCTGTCTTGGAATGAATGATAGTTGTAGTCCAACACATTTCAAAGGCAGCAATTTGGGAAAGGCTGTGCTAAATCAAATCTCTGGGTGAATGGCAATGTTTATGTCTGATTATTTGTAACATCAAGCTCTGGTAGCTTTTTTTAGGGAAAAAGTTCCATAGAACTGAAGCCATTGCACAGAAAGGCCGGTTCTATGTCCTTAGTCAGGTGACATAATCAGCAAATATCCACAGGGGGTTCAGAACTGGCAAGATGGCGGATGAAGTGTCACAATGCAAGCCCTACCCTTTTGAATGTGCTTGTTATATCAACACATGTACAAAAGAGGCAGGTGTTGCATTGCAATGCTCCATCTGCCATCCTGCTGATTTTAACATTCAGTATTATTATGGTTGATCTCACAGTATTATTATGATTGATTGCAGTCAGTCAGATGTTTAGACTGGATTTGGCATTTTTATCCACCTATTGTGTCCTTCCCAATCCCAACAATTATTGTTATTAGTATTATTATTAAAAAATTCTCATTCTGTTGACTTAACTTGGTACTATCCAGATATGTTCATTCCACATTTCCTAGTATTTCTTGGTCACTATAGGCAACAAGTTTTATGAGAGTTGCAGTCCCAGGACATTAGGACAGAGCTAGTCTGGGAGAAGTTGATTTAACCATAAACCCATTTTTTTCCACAAAGTAACTCTATTCGTGGATAGGAAAGCCTCCTACTTTTTTTCTAACAAAAAGAATAACATGCATATCCCTCATTTCTGAATATTCACTTCATTATTAATGTAACCTTTCTCATAATACTTTGTTTACAACTGTTGATTTCCCCTTAACAGAATTATTTGCCACTTCACTACTATTTGAGGAAGCCGTCATGTGGGATTAGATCTTTTAGAGCTGCATTTCCTAATGGCACTGACACAACTTTTCCATCCCCACATGCCGCCTTCTTTCAAGTATTACATTAGTGCTATGGGATCTAACTTCAGCAAAGCCCATCAAGTACCATTTTTGCAGCTATGAGTAGTATTTTTAACTTTCTAAAACAATTACTTGGTTTTTAAATGTCCATACTAAACTGGAAAAAAATTAGGAGATGCTGAATGTTTGTGGAAATTATCATTATCTAAAAATTACAGAAGCACTCACAAAGGTCTATCCCAGGTGTGGACAACTCCTATGAATCCTAGGTAGCATGGCCGATAAAGAGGGAAGATGGGAACTGTAGTCCAGCAAACTCTGGAGGGCCACATGTTGCCCATCCTTGATCTAAACTTTTTTTTATAAAGCTTGCCCTACTCTGGCCTTTCAGTTAAGCCATTTGTGCTCGTTAAATGGTTAGGTATTGATGAATGAACGTAAGCCATAAATGTTATCCCGATAATAATGGGGATGATCAATGTCTAAAGTGCACCTACAAAGTATGGAATATCACATGGTACTCCTATGGTAGGTGCAAGTATGTATCAATTGGCTCTCTCCAGTGTGGTGCCTTATAGATAAAGCAATTATTCATTGTGGGATGAATAATTGCTTTATCTATAATCCTCAATCAGCAGGACCATTGCATAATTTATGCAATCAGTAGAATCCTGGTTGATTTGTATTATATTCAGTTGTAATTACCTTGCTTTTAATCATTTGGATTATTTCTTTGTTGTTTGGTATTCGATACTCTTTATATACTAAAAGTATATTTCTGGAGCATAAGTAAATAACTAGCCCTACCTCTACAATTTTGCCATAGGGTTCAAAACCACAAACTGGTTCGTCAGAAAGCATCCGTATTACTGTACAGGTAATTACAGTTCAGTTTCATAGAAAATTTGGAAGGAGAAATATAGTCTGTCTCAAGAATGTGTGATGCAATAAGCCATCCTAGAATTTAAAATAATTTCTTCCTTCACTTTGATGTCTTAGAACAAGAGATATACCTATACCGTGGGGTAAACTATGTGGGAACAGGGGTGGGTTCTTCCCTTACCCTTCTGTGTGAGCTACACCATGACCAATGATGCCCTGGCTGGCATCTCCACTTTCAATTAAATCTGCTTTTAACAGAATAGATCTCGTTATTTGGTTAATAACAACACTATGACTTTTTTTTTTTAATGGCAGGGTCAGCCATCAGGCTCCCAGAGTAGCAGTTCCTTTGGCGCGCAGGTATATATAATGTTACTGTTCTATATCAAATGTTGGTTAGTTTCTGAAAACAAAAATGGGTTAGTAATAGCAGAGCTGGTAGGGTTGGGCAAGGCTGTTCGGCGCATTCCTAATTTGATCCCATGAGTAGTCTTACTGAATATTTTGCATTTGACAGAATGCTTGAAGATGTGGTGCACCATATTTTGCTGCTTTATGCAGATGACAAGATGGCACCCTTCCCTAATCCATGTAGAGATGGCAGCTGAATCTTAATTCAGCACAACTGATGAGATAGGGTCCTCCACTGTATTAAATTCAAATAATCTTGATAGGGTGGAGGAATGGGCTGAAAGGGATAAATATAATTTAACAGAAATAAGTGCACAGTTCTTTACTTAGGAAATAAAAATTCACAGGGATATCTGGCTTGATAATAGTGCTTGCAAAAAAACATCTTAGAATAGTAGTTTACTGTAAACTGTATGTGATTCAGCGCTATGATGTGGCTGCAAATAAGGGAAAGGCAATTTTAGGTTGACTCAATAGAAATATAATTTCAAAATCACAGAAAGTTGCTATTTTGGCAGTGAGGTCCACTTGTTGTAGCAGCTGGAAACTGCCCTCCCGCAAAGGTGGCACTGAGTTGAACATGGACCAACCAACATCAAACTCGGGCAACAAGCTGGTTGGCCAATTCCTGTTGCAACCAATGGATCAACAGCTATATACAATGTATAATTGACATGGACATGAAGATTACCCAGTTGGACCTGGTTGCTGCATTCAATCGTGTGAAACGGTGTTCATTGGTCTGAAAAGTGGACCCTGCACCTGCTGAAAAATGCTAGGAAGAAGAAGAAAAAGAAGGCAGCTGCTATTTCACTGTGTCCTGCATTGATCAGACCCATCTTCAGAACCTTATCCAGTTCTGGGCACCACACTTGAAGAAGGATTCAGTGAAATTAGAACACATTCAGAGAAGGACAATGAAGATTATCAGGGGATAAAAACTAAACTGTAAGAAGAAAAATGGAAGGAGTTGGGTATATTTAGTCCTGAGAAAAGACAACAGGGGTGATGGTGGTGGTGTATGATTGCACTCTTCAAATACCTGAATGGCTATTACATAGAACGTCAGGTCCTGTTTTTTCTTGTACCAGAATGCAGGATATGGAATAATCGACTGAAATTATAGAAAGGCAGAATGCCAGAAAGAACATCATACCACTAAGAGCTGTTTGATAGTGGAACCAGTTATCCAGAGTGATCGAGGACTTCCCTTCATTGAATACAGTGACTAAACTGCTATCTGTTGTAGAAACTTTAATTTGGATTCCTGCCCTGAGCAGGAGCTTGATCTTGGCCTAAATGGCCCTTTCCAATTCTATAGATCTACAAAATGAGATGAAAATACATAACACTTACAAATGAAGGATGTCAAGATTCACCATAAAGTTTTATGAATAAAGCAGTCCGTTGCAAAATAAAAGACTTGTTCTAAAGCCTTAGACTAGGATGTCATCTGACAGGACTCAGGAGGAGACCCTTTTCTGCCACAGTGCCCACCCTTTGGAACATCATCCCCCTGGAGGTAAAACTGACCTTCCAGAAGAGCCTTGAAAATATGGCTTGGCATCTGGCCTGGAGAACTGATTGACATTGGTGAAGAGCCTGCTAACTGGTTGTACTTCTAGGAAAATGAATGGTGCTCTCCCGCTGATTATATTTTTATGGTTTTAATGGTTTTATTGTTTTTGATGATTTTTGTGGTTATCTTTTGGTTGATTTTGTATCGTTTTCTGGAGTTTTAACTTTGTAAGCCGCCCAGGAGTGAGCTATATAAATTTCATAAATAAATTTTGAAAAATTATGTGCTGCCTAAGATCAATACATTTTTGTTTCTTGTTTTTGAAATCAGGGGGCATCATCTACAGGTGTAAGCAGCTCTTGTGGTCCGGTATGTACTTTTATTCAATAGTTACAAACTTGGCTGCAGAACTGTTTATCTAGTAATAAAACAACTTGGTGAGAAGAATATGAAACTCTTCCAGAGCAACTTAAGTTGTCTTTTGCTATTTCTGATGATAGCAAACCATAGAAAGATAATTATCACAAATGTAGTAATTATTTGTACTTGGCGAGTTTTATCATTAATAAAATAAACTTCTATTTTAAATAGGGGGTTACAAACGACAGCAATCTCTGCAGTAAGGTAAGGCACTTTTTCAATATACATAAAGTTTTATTCCAAAAGAAGCTATGGATTTTTATCTGTCTAAAATGACAGTGACTGAAATATAGCTTATGGCAGTCAGGTGCAAACTGACAAGTGGGGAAAGTATGGAATTTTTTGTTTGACTTATATTAGCTAGTTTTCTCTCTGCTACTTCCTCCAAGTGTATTACTTCTGATAGACCCATCATAGCCCGGCTAGGGCAAAACATTGGGGAATAGGGAGAGAGGTTCCAGCAAAGAAATGCAGAGTAGGAAGAATTCAGCTGCTCTTCCTTTACACAGAATCACAGCCCACCACCCCCTGCTTATACATGGACACAATCCCCTAACCCTTTTAAGAAATCCTGGCCTATTTTTTTTCATTTTGGATGGGATATTTCTCAACCTCAGGAGCTTCAAGTTGTATGAACTTCAACTCCTAGGATTCTTAACAATGGCCATGCTGGCTGAGAAATTCTGGGAGTTGATGTCCAAACATCTCAGAATTGCCCAGGTTGGGAAACACTGCTTTGGTCCACACATCTATAGAGAAAATAGTTTTCTGATGAAATCATAGAAGTAGAAAAAATTCAAAGCAAATGTTGGATGCAAGAGATTCTGAAATGGTACTCAGCAAAAGACTGTGAAAAAGGACAACCTCTTACAGGAATTCTAGGAACTGCAGTCTCACCACCATTTGAAAGACTGAAGGAGACCGTGTAAAGAGAAGATGCAGTCTTCCAAGTATGAAGCAGCAAGGGCAATTCTCCTTCATGCAGAAAGAAAAGAGAAGGTACCGATTCTACACTGTGATTGTTTCCTTGCTTCTCCCCAGGGCCAGTCGTCGTCGTCATCATCATCATCATCAAGCACTTACAACCAGATAGAGAGATCCTTTTCCTTCAGCAGCTTCTTCCTAGTTATATGATATGAAATACTAAGTTCAGACACGTCCTTTCTAGGAGAGCAAATCAGGAAATGCTCATAACAAATGCCACAATTGTAAAACGTGATCAGAATTTGTGTCATTAAAGTTGAGTTGGGAAATTAGGAAATGTTTGGTCATTTTAGAAGAGAGGAGTTCAGAAAAATATAATAATTGTGTATATTATTTGTTTTTCCTTGGTTTTTCCCACACAGCCTATCACAAAGCATTTACTATAAGCAGATAGCAACTTTTTCCTGTGTATATGTGTGTGAGTGTGTTTTTAGAGTGATGATACAGATCTCCCAAAAGCCAACTGAGACTCTTTTTATATCTCTTTCTTTCAAGTTAGATTATTATATAGATATTCAAGTAATTAAGGAATTGTGATCAGAGAACATCCAAAGATACATAGGTTGGAATCCAGAGTCATATGAGCAGAATTTGCTCATACAGTAGGACAACTTTCTTTGTTCAATAGTTCATCTGAAAAGTCTACAAAGCAGAGAGATAGAAAATCTCTTTCTGCTGATGGAAGCAGTTCTACCAGTGGATAAGTTAATTGGTTTTTATGTATGATGCTAAGAGAAACTCTCAGAAGCAGTGAACTACTAAGCTTTTGCCCGCTTCCTTTTTATTTTGATGGTTTGCCCCTCCATTATTTTTTCTAAATTTGCTTTACACTCTGCTGTGACAACTGACCAACCTGCCTGCACACAAGTTTCTGATTTTTATACTTTTGAAAGTCAGTTAAATCGTTAAGAGTTATTTTAACATTTTTTCTTCTTCTCTGTTGATTTTTAGGCTGGTTCACAATTTCAGGACAACAAGAATGCCTGTAATACGGTATGCTTCTTTTCGCTCGATTTATCTAAGAGCTATATTTTCAGTTGGTAATGTAACATTTTATATTAACTAGATTATCACCCTTAAAGCTTGGAATGACAACAATTTTGAAAGCAAGGCATGGGGCAATATTTCAATCTATGTTATAGAAAAGCTTGACGGTAACTTCTGTTTATCCTGACACCCATTTTCGTCACGCTTTTCTTGCCTATAATTTGGCATATATTCCACGGCTGACCTCTTCTTTGAAGTGATCTCAGAGCAGGATAGAGAAATCCACCAATTTCAGTTTCCATTACCTCTCATTTTACCAAGCTCAGCTTCAACTCTGTTTTTCATTAGTTCAAATACACATGTCATATACTCTTCTTCTAATGTACAGTTCTTAGCCAAAAATGCTTACGATATTTCTGGATACATTATTTTAATTTATACATATTATACACATTTTTCGATTGAAGAACTGGAACACAACTTGCG